CAGCTTTTGCATATTAGGGAAATGAGACATTTATATTTTCCCCAGAATATTACTGAAGCTTGTAATTTTCTGCAAGATGCTTGCTGACTTTCTTTTTCCTACCAATAAGCATATTTTTATTTTCAAATAGTTTTTGTCTACTATGTTACTATGCTTCTGTTTAAGACTTCCTTGTACCTATGCATGTATGCATATGTGTATATGCACATGTATGCATGTACAGAGGATGGAAAACAGTATTGAGTGCTCTGTATTACTTTCCACCAATTCCTTTGAGGCAGGGTCTCTCCTATTCATATTTTACGAATATATGTTTTCATTGCTGGTCGTGTTCTGTATTAATATGAAAAATAGCTTGTCTGGTGTCTTTCCCTCCTTCCCACTTTATATGAATGTGGTAAATTGATTTTGTTCATTTGTAATTCTTAGTCTTGTTGAATTTTTACTGTGGTAGTTTTCAGATGATTCTGATGATTCTTTTTCCTTCCCACTCTAAATCCTTGCTAATGATTTTTCTTCCCTCTTTTCTGATGAATAGGTTTTGATGGTACCTTGTTTGACTATTTTAATGGTTATGAAGATTTAAAAAATAAAAAAATTCGATTTGTTGGACATGCTAAACAGAGAATTCAAGAAGATTATCTTCGAATTTTAAGATATTTCAGGTAAGAATTTGTAAATTTTAACAACAAAATTTCAGGTTTTTTTCCCTTTGAGCACAATCCCGTTTTGTGTAGTGCATATCAGCAGAAATATAGAGACCCCCAAGTACCTGTCTTCTGTGATGAGACTGCACCCTTTGACTTTGAAAATATACATTAAACCATCCTTTGTGGTGTATGCTATATAAAAGCTTTAAGTTATTAATGTATTTTACTTCATTGTGGTTTGAGTCCTCACCATGCACTGTGCTAGGTGCTCTGATCACAGTGAGGATGACTTCAAGTGTCTGCTTTCACAGAGCTGCAGAGTCTGAGATGCTCTGGAACAGACCTGCTCAGATGCCTCACCACAGAACAACATTGACAAAAAGAAAATGCTATTAAATGAGTGGTGAAATAAATCAAATATAGATAAATATACTTAAAAGATGGATAAACTTGGTGAGTGTAAGATGCATGGATAGATTTGTAGGTAGCAGTGATTCTAATTTTTGTAGGCTTGACTTTCAACTTCTATACTTGTATATGTAATGTTGTGATACATTGTAATTTAAGATAAAGCTGCTGTCTGCCCTCAAACACATAGCATGTTTGTGATAAAACATTCAAACTCCTTTAAGCTCTTGGTTATCTGTGTCATTCCAGTCTACAGCAGTAATGAGGATGTCGTCTTGTGTGTATGTGTCACTCAGTGCCCACTGATGAGTCAGCTGATCCTCGGTTTAGGCTCACCTTCTTTGGCTACATTGATACATAATGAGATTGTGAATGAGATTATGCATTTCTAGTCTTTTTGTGTCTAGATTATTTAACAGTCAGCTCTAGCTTCATCTATTGCTATACTTGATAGGATATTGTATCAGGAGTGGTGGCACACGTCTATAATCCTAACACTGCCTGAGGCAGGAAGGTCATGAGTTCAAGGCCAGCCTTGGCTAACCATAAGTTTGAGGCCACTGTACCGAATGTTCAATGTGCTACATTTTCTAACAGTTGATCAGTTTATTTTCAAAAGTGACCCACAGGGAACACAGGGGACCCAGGGTCACCTCATACTGACCTGACTTCCTTTGGATATAAACCATTGTCGATCTGTTTGTTTTCAGAGGATTCCCCCATTTTCCATAGTGCCTATGCTAGTTTACTTCTGCTTAGCTTTACAAGTGTATTTCTGTCTGACTTGTTCAGCCCTTGCTGCCTTTGATGAGAGCCATTCTCCCTGGAGTGATTCCTGTGCATTTCCGTGGTGACTAGTGATACTAGATAACAGTTCATAGACCTTCTGATCATTTATACATTTTGCAGTTATTTTTGAATTCCTTCTGTAATGCCTCATCTGATGTGACATTTAAAACATTCTGTAGGTTTTATCTTAATAGTTTCTTACCAGAAATTAAAAAAAAAAAATCTAAATTCTAACCTTAAAAAAAAATACTGACCTGAGTAGTGTGCATCTGGTAACATTCACACTGCCCACTTTTTGGGATCACTCAGAATACTATGTAGCAGGGCATAAGTATTTTGTCAATAAATCCAAGTTTTCTAAACTAGTATATGCAAACAATCTGTTAAAAAACAGACCAAACAGCAAGACTTTTAAATGGTAGCACTGTCTATGTTTGAATGATCCATCACCTAGATGTATAGGGGACAACCCTAGGGAAAAATGGAAAAATATTTTATATGGTGATAGACGTTGGTATAGAAGTAGACGTTGGTATAGAAGTAGACGTTGGTATAGAAGTAACAAAATTCTGAGGCTTATCTTGTAGGTTTTTTCCTCTTTAATACATTTTAAAAAACCTTAAAGAAAAAAAAGTCACACATCAAATGTCTTACAGGTTTTATGGCAGAATTGTTGACAAACCTGGTGACCATGACCATGAGACTCTAGAAGCAATTGCAGAAAATGCCAAAGGCTTGGCTGGAATATCAGGAGAGAGGATTTGGATAGAACTGAAGAAAATTCTCACTGGGAACCACGTAAACCATTTGATCCACCTGATCTATGATCTTGATGTGGCTTCTCACATAGGTGAGCATAGGTTATACAACTATGTAAGAATTTTGAGCAACAAAAGACCTAGTTTAAAGTACGTGAGGTAAAATGTTTTGTGTTATATAGCTAAGGAATTTTAAGTGGGGAAATTGTATTCTAAGGTAAACATTGGGATTAAGGGTTAACAGTTTATGGGTAAAGAATAGTCCAGTGAACACTTGGATTTGATGAAGCTGTGCCCCTTACTGGCTTTACAGGTTGGGTTGTCATCAAAAAGCAGTTAGACCTAGTTACCCCTTCTACAAGAAAACTTAATATGTAGAAATGAAGTCAGTCAGGAACACAGACTTACTGAGCAGGGAGTGGGTGCAGACAGGAGCGTGACTGAGAAAGCATCTGCTGTGTACTTGACGTGACCATGGCTCCTGAGCCTTCTGCTACATCTTGCTAGGGAAAACAAAAACATGATTGGGTTTCCTAGGAGTTGAGAGTGACAGATGGGCTGAGCAAAAACAGTGGAAAAAGAACACTACTTAAAAAATATTGCATGGCTGACTGGGCGGTGGTGGCATATGCCTTTAAACCCAGCACTCAGGAGGAAGAGGCAGACAGGATCTGGCTATACAGAGAAAGCCTCAAAAAAAAAAAAAAAACCCAAAACTACATGGTATGAGAGACAAGTGAGGGTTTTATAATTAAAAACAATGATTATGGTTTTATAAATAAAAACGACTTTTTTTTTTTGCCATACAGGTTTACCTGCTAATGCAAATTTAGAAGAATTTAACAAAGTCAGTAAAAATGTTGAAGGTTTTTCACCAAAGCCAATGACTCTTTTGGCCTCTTTATTCAAAGTACAAGATGATGTCACAAAACTGGATTTGAGATTGAAAATTTCAAAAGAAGAGAAAAACTTGGGTTTATTTATAGTTAAAAACAGGAAAGACTTGATTAAAGCAACAGATAGTTCAGAACCATTGAAACCATATCAAGACTTCGTTATAGATGTAAGTATGTATTAGGTTTGGTCATAAAAATAGTTCTTCATTAACTAGAGAAGTAATTTTTATTCTAACTGTAGACTTTATATAAGTAAATAGTGGAATGAGATTGTAAATATTTAATCATGAACAATTGTGTGTCCCTTAGTCAAGGGAACCGGATGCAATTGCCCGTGTGTGTGAGCTGCTCAAGTACCAAGGAGAGCATGGTCTGCTCAAGGAGATGCAGCAGTGGTCTGTCCCGCCATTCCCTGTGAGTGGACATGACATCCGGAAAGTGGGTATCTCTTCAGGAAAGGAAATCGGAGGCCTGTTACAGCAGTTGCGTGAGCAGTGGAAGAAAAGTGGTTACCAAATGGAAAAAGATGAACTTCTGAGTTATATAAAGAAGACCTAAAATGAACTCCATATGAAATAGCGGGAAGTCTCGGTAAGACTGGTTTTATTTCCTTCTGTTTCTTACTTAAATCCTAAGAAACAGCAGCAAGATAAAACTCTTGTATAGCAGTATAGAAAATCTAAGCAAGTCTATGTCCTCTCAATACAGGTTTAACTCCGAATTCTCCAAGTCTGTAGGAGTAGTGCCAATGAGAAAATTGTAGCTGTCACTTGTTTAGACTGGATGTGGTAACTGTCAACACTTGTGTGTGCTAAATAACTAGTTAATGTTGTCTTAGCTGTTTGCTGAGTTTTAAAATTAGTCCACAGTGCCATTCATTTACACAGGACTTTGTGATTTCCTTATGTGTGCAAAGCTTTATATCAGGTCCCACAGACAGTGAGCACAAGTATTTATTTTACTAGTTAGATGGATATGGCTTAGAGCTTGATAAAATCACTCATGATGAAGCCCAAATAAGAGGGAGTTTAACCATGCGCTCCTGCTGTTGTCACTCCACTGCATAAGCATGTAGGAAGTATACAGATGGAGTGCTATCCTTTAAACAGTACTGTCTGCAAGTAATGGTAAACAGTGTGTGGATCATGAGAGTCCACTGCAGAATTCCGTCTTTATGACTACAGCTTAAATGAACTCAAGTGGAACTTAAAAGGTGACATTGAGGAGTTAACATTTTATTACTGTACTTCACTTTAAATTTTACTTACTTTTTGACTTTTACATAATTCAACTAAATAGTGTAGGTTTGGACATAGGTATTAAATTTTGGTAAGTTTTATTTAAAGATGCCCTTTAATTGCTTTAACCTTTATTTCCTAAAGGATGTAATCCCAGAAAGATATACTGTTCACTTAAATGCAAAATGCACATATATTACTATTTAAAGGGTTTTACATATGACAGGGTTATCAAATAAATAGTGCAAATACACAAAATGCTATTTTTTTTCTGTTCAAACTGCTTATTTTACTCTTTAATATTTTCAAAATTTACAAATCAGTATCTCAGACAAGCTAAAGAAAATTAAAAGGACTTTGTTCCTTTCAAAATAATAAACACTGCTTTGCCTCTGTCTTGTGCTTGCCAACCAAGCTTGTGGAACATTCACCATTTAGAGGAGCAGTGCCCTAATCCTGTTCCATAGTCATTCTCATCGTTTCAAATATGTTTTCTTATCCCTCAATGACACATATTCAACAGGATAATTAATGGCACCAAGCTACCAAAGCTGATACTTCTGAATCCAATCTTGTGTTTTACTCTCCTTTTTCATCCTCTGAACAAGTGTGCTCTTGAACTTGGTAGTCAAATGCTGTAACCACTATACACATCAGAGACAGTGACCTCTGGAGCAGATCTGACTTGAGAAAATAATTTGTTAGGAAGTTACTCCTACAATGCACAATTACAAACAAAGTATTACTTTGTCTGGACTTATTTCATCTTCAGTTTCTGGAATTGTGGGTAACAGAGCAGAGCGAGTTAAGCCCCAGAACTTTTGAGGTGACATATCTTTTTTGGTGGCTGTAAATTTCCATCCAATGTGGCTCGCACAAATCTTACACTGGGCAATGGTCCATGCATACCTATAAAATGAAGGAAAACACAAGCTAAGCAACTTTTTTTTTTTTTTAACCTTTGATCTAGGCTTGTCAGGAAATTTCTCTGAAACCTCGTGAATTTACAAAGCTACCTTGTCAATATTGTATTGATACTATGATTTTATTACTATAAGTTTCTTTATATTGCTGTTTGCAAAAGACTGCATCAGTCCAGCCTTAACCTCACTGCTTTCTACTACATCATTGTTAGAGAACAGCAGTCTTGGAGATACAGATGATGCAAAGGAAAGAGTGCATGACCTCTTTGAAAATAAGGCACTTCTGTTCTCAAGTTAGCGAGCTACCATTTTCTTCAGGTGGAGTATTATGTATTTAGTGTTTACATTAACATATTTTGTTAGTTTTACAGTCTTCAAGAATGATGTCAAATAAGAGGATTTTTTATCCAGGTGCAGAATAGCAAGTAAAATCACTAATCCCTAATTCCTCTGCCACTTTCAAAGTAAAGGTGTGGCCCAGAATAAAGCAGGCTAGATAACCAAGATTTTCTGGTTTTTACAATTCATTATGTCCCTGCTTACGGCCTTTGAGCCACATATCAGTGGATCAACCAATAGTTGTAGTTACAGTGGATCATGAACTGACAGATACTTCAGGTTTTTACCCTAACATATGCAACGATACACACACACCAAGTTCATTTCTACCCGTTGATGAAATGAAGATTAGTTAAAATTATTCCTGTCATGTTTGTCTTGTATCATTTCTAGATGCTTCACTTAAGACTAAACGAAGAGTCAACAAAAAACAGTAAACACAACCACATTACCCAGGAAACCAGCTGTGTACTGTAGAAGGCCGACCTATCAGATTCAGATTGGAAGCTTTATACACAGTCAGTGTCTCATGTACATATCCATGAGGATTCACATATGCTGCCATTGGACCACATAGGGATAAACTGTAACAAAGAAGTAGTTTGAAGAATAAGATAAGGAAAAGAAAAACAGTAACTCCAGTTTTTCCTTCTTTGGGATATATATAATAAAGATACATAAATCATTATTATTACTAAAAATATATATTATATATATTAATCTTTGAATTTTATGTATACAAAAGGTTGGCAGATATTCTATTTTTGCTTGAAAATTTTCTTTGGTGATTTATTAGGTTTATTAGGTTTAAAAGCCTAATAAAAAGGTCATATTTATTCATCTTTGGACAGTTAGATGCTTTGCAGACATCAGTTTCTTTTCTTGATTTACTGTCTTATTTTATAATTCTACTTAATTCATCAAAGTGTTGAACTGCTGTATCACAGCATTAACATACACTCAGAGGCACGCCCTATTTTGATCCTTTGTAGCATAACTAGTTGAAAGATAATGCTTGAAGCACTCATCATGTCAAGCTTTAAACAAAACTTGAGGGAAAAGTGTATTGTAAGGCATTGTAGGTATTTCTAGCCTGGGAGACAGCCTTATCCCAAGCCAAATTAACTCCCTATGTTTATTTTCTTTATTAAGAGTATATTTTTTAGGCACTGGAGGAAAAATTCTAAAAGGAAGTTGAAAATGTATTGAGAGAGGTATATTAAATGTAATAAAGAGCTTACCTAAATATTTCATTCTTGGTTGTTATTTCTGTTTCTTGACATTGTTTACAGCAAAGGGAAGTACACTAAAAAGTTGAAGTGGAAAAATAGACATGTTACCCAAATCATGAATAAACTTCTTTAGGGTATAAATGTCTTGGGTTGTATGTCACATTTCCAAACTGATAAATTTATATGAAGCCTAGGATTAATATTTAAGGACTGCAAAAAAAAAATTCAAATTTTCAGGTTGACTATACCTTATTCAAAGTTGTGTGTGTGTGTGTGTGTGTGTATGTGTATGACTTGATTGCTTAAACATACTAATCCCCCAGATTTGGAATGGTCTGAATTACAGAGCATTTCAGATTCGAGAAAAGCTTTTCAGTACAAACCAGAAAAGGTAAACAAGTACCTCTCCAGTATATGACTGTATTCCTATACAATAGAAGTAGCTCCTGATCTCAACAGTGATGACAACTCACACAACAGACATGTCATCTTTACTTACTTTATTCATGATATCTAATTCACAGCGAAGTCGTTGTATAGCACTACCAATTTTAAGGAGCTGAATTCTCAACACATCATCAATAGGAAGACAAGCAGCTACTCTGTAAGAAAAGTCTTAAAAGACAGGGAGAGGTATGCAGGCTTTAAACTTAGGAATCATTACTATATACTTATATTCTAGCTACCTTCCAAACATACTTGAATGAAACTGACTTAGAATTATAGAAATGACAAAGCTAAGTTCTGGAGCCAGATTTACTTGTAAAAGCTCTATAAAGAACAGGAAGTGTCTACATGAGAACCACTTATGCAATTCAACTTTAGGTAGAAAATTAACAAAATAGATTCTGTTGCTTAAAATATTAATTTCTTGAAAAAATATTTTTCGAAGTAAAAGAGATACAAATGCCTTTTCAGAATTCATAAAAGGTTAGTTTGAATTAAAGGCTTTTTTTTAAAATTTTTCCAACATACCACAGCTTCTAGTATTTGCCATACCTATTGGATTTGCAGGAAGAGAATCATCTTTGAGATTTTCATCCCATTCACGTAGCTGTTTCTTAATTCTATCCATTAATGTTTCCTGGTTTAAAATAAAAGTAACCACAATAAGGTTCAGCCCCTTTAAAAACCATACATTGCTACTAAATCTGAGACCAGACATAATGTTTTCACAGGTGGAACTGGTTGCCTCACTCCTTTGACTAGCAAGTAGGTCAACTTTCCTGGCTTTTCACCCTTAGGCTGTTTATTCCAAGGACTATGTGATTCTAAATGCCTCTGGATGCTGTTTTAGACTGCTGCTTGAATTGGCCTCTCTTCTGACTTTTCTCAAGCCCTTTCCTGGCTCAGTGCATTTGCTACACACCCCACTTAGCAACTAGTTACTACGGAAAATTGCTATCTTTTTCCAGGCATTAATATGTTTTCACAGAGTGCATCTGTGCCTTTGTAAGGTTCAAGAGCTGCTGAAGGGCAGGAGGCAACTAACTGTTTTCTTTTAGTGGTACATAAATCATACATGCTCATATTACTTGTTTTATTTTTCCAGTTCTTTAGATTTCTTGGCAGGGATTCACTAAGAAATACAACTAATATTTGTTTAATCTTTACTATGCAACAGCTACTATTATGCCCATCTGCCTCAAACCACAGAATAACTGATAGGGCTTTGAAGGCATTCATTGTATTCCAAATCAAGATTCTTCAAGTTATCCTAGTATTCGGTCTTGTAGTGATTTTGTTAGCAGCTGACTGCATACTTTTAACTGACAGCACAAGCCTGTGTAGATGCATCAATTGATATGCTAATGATACAGAGATACATTGGAATGTACTTGTTTGGAAAACAATATTGTGATGTAAGAATTCTTATAGTGTGCCTTTCACATGACCATAATTTCAGTAACCAAAAAGGTGTCATCCTATTTTGCTAAGATACAAGTCAGGACTGGTAAGTTACTTACAGCGTCATATAATGAATACAGCCAGCGAGGCCATGAAGTCAGATTTGCACAGTGAAACTTTCTCTGAAACAAAAAGTGTCACTTAGGGAAATTCAAGGGAAAGGTGCAAATACTACAAACAGTAACACCTAAAATTTCTATTTTTTAAAAGCTTACCAACAGATTATCTGAAAGGCATTCTTATAGATGGCAAACACTCTCAACACCTTAATGACAGTACACTCTGAAAAAGGCTTGTCAAAAACAGCATTCAACACAGACCACCAGGGTGGTTAACTACACCTAAGCTGGTACAGGCTATTGCTTCTAGACTGCAAGCTCACATGGCATATTACTGTACTGAGTATGTCAGCAACTGAAACACAATGGTAAATACCTGTGTATTACAAATTAAGCTTAACAAATATAAAAGAATAAGAAGGGTTATGCCAATATGGGGAACTTACCACGGATTGATTGTGCAGGACTGTTCATTGTTCTGGGTGGGTCCGTGGTAGAGAAATGAATAGAAGACCTAGGATATTACTGTCTGAATAATGTGATAGACTATATGTAATACATATTAAATATATAAAGTATTTTATTTGGTAATTTTGTCAAAAAAATTTCTTCAATTAGAGGGGACATGATTCTTGTTTGCCATCCCATTACAAGGCACCAACCTACAAGCAAACTAGAGTCTCAATTCCCATTGAAGGAAAGGACTTCTAAAAACCTTTATTCCAATTATTCTGAGTCTAAAAATTCCATGCACAAAAAATGTGTTCAATGTTTAATGGTAATTACACAAACTGAAGGGAGCAGAACTGTTTGTTCTTACATTCATGAGTCCCCTCTCGACTTTCAGCACTGTGAGAGGGGCTTCTAGCCTCTGTGTGGATACTGTTGCTAACTTTCAGCAGATCACAACTGTTGCTCAAGGCTTACTTTGTAAAAAGGCCATACTTCAATAGCCCCCAAATTTAGGAACTTAAAGGGACTAAGAATAAACTCTTCATAGAACTTGTAGTTGTTCATGGAACAGAGATTGCTACTGATAGCATGCATAAAGATCTTTGAAATAAAACTGCAAAAAATTTTGAAAATCATCAAACGCCAATCAAACTGGCAATGAAACTAATAGGACACTGAAAAAACAAACAAAAAAAATCTTAAAAATCATTCCACTGACTTATTACATGGAGTCCAGAGATGATATAGTGAGCAAAGTAAATGATAACATTTAGTTAAATAAATTGGAAATGGACAGTTTTTGTTTTTCTTTTACCAAATTTCTCTTAGTAATGGGAGCTGGTAGGATCTTTACTATTCTAGTGGCTTATAAACTAGTGGTAGATGCACAAATATCTATGCATAGCATGTATGCAAGGCATGAAAAATCACCAGTCTCTCTGTGTTAATACCTGACACACCTACCTTAGAAACAGCTTAGAAAGCTTCACTGAAAAGGGGGCAGTGAGAAGGCCAGAGGCCCCATTTATACGCAGAGTGCTTGTGAACGTGAGAATTGCCACGCAGCACACTACATACAGGCTGACACAGTACCAGAAGAAGTAAAAGATAAAACTAATCTAGTTTGAGGCAGCCCCTCAAATCAGTGTGAGCAAAAGCAAACTCTCAGAAACTAAATGGGACAAAGACAAAGACAAGCTGCCTGGAAACAGTGACACGCCTGGATAAACTGCACATGGACTCATGTTTACATAAAATTCATTATCGAGAGAAAAATCGTGTGTCCTCCCTTGGGAAGTTATTAGTTACAATTTAGAACACTAAGGCAGTGTACTAAAATACAATTAAGTAAAGATGGAAACCCCCTAAAACACAGCACACTATGGCCAACATTAACATGACAAACGGGACAGGCTTTTGACTACAAAGACGACAACTGTCACGAGTTCTGAGAAACCAGTGGGCCACTAGGGAAAAAATGGATAAAAACTATGTAAGAGATACACAAGTCCCTTAAGTAAACTGCTATACATAATCATGCAAATTAAGTTAAAATTAAACCTATAAGGTACACTTATCAGATCAACAAACTTAGTTGTATATTAACTATGAAACCGTGGCAACAATGAATACCAGCAGGTAAATAACTCCTTTGTAAGGAAAACTACAAGCCCGCCCGCATTGTCACTTCATCTCACTATCAAGATTGAGCATATGTATGTATCTGTGCAAAGGGTATCTGTACACTTAGTGTAGGTGTCAGAGGTGACGTGTAAAATACAACAGCCTGCTGCAGCTTTAGAGAGGAATGATGCTGTGTCTATCAAAAGATACAGAGGAGTCTCCTGTGAGGCACTGTTAGTAAAAGAGAAGGTCAACAGTAGTGGATATCATTTTGCATAAGGTGCAAGAAGAATGAATATCTGTATCTATAAACTCTAGAGCATGAAAAAAATAGAGCAAGTTTGAAGGCTTTGGAAGTTTGTACTCATTTCTGCTCTGCTCTACATGACACACAGGAAGAATCATCTCTTGTTTATTTAGCACAGGCTGAAGGGATGAGCATCAAACATTACAGATTTCTAATGTTCACATTGATTATATTTCAGAATTAACTCTTCTGATTAACAGGGTAAGCTTTGTATATGGACAGACTGACAGCTTGGACAAAGGGAAATGCATTTCAAGAGGGATGAAAAAGTTTGCCATTTGGAAATCTCTTCCAATCATTCTGGTGAGTTTAGAAAGGGGCCATGATAGTAAAAAAAATAAAAATAATTAAAAAAAAGTAAGCACCAGTGTCAAAGCCTGAATCTCAGGAAATCAAATCTCTATGAAATAGATCTGAAGTGCTTCCCAATTAACTTGGCTCCAACATTTTCCCCTTTTCAACATCCAACATGCTGAGCAGACACATGTCTATTGGACTTCCTCTACATTCCTGCGGTTATTTTGTAGGAATAAGAGGTTGCATAGAACACTCAGCGAAGCTTCAATACTACTTTATGATATCTGGGCAGTTTATATATATTCAAAGATAACTAAATGTAATCCAGGAAGACCGTGTTCTCCTGAATGCTTTATCTTTCCTATTGGAAATGTGACAACTACTTTTAAATCATGTTAACAAATGTCGCAACTCTTCCATCTTAACTACTACTCAGCCACGGAAAAAAGGACACATCTAATATGGCTTTACTTTGTGGTGGACTGTACAAGTGAGTGTCAATTCTAGGAAGAGGTCTGAACTGACCCCAGGTCTGTCTAAACACAAGCAATACACAGACCATTTTCAAAGCAATCGAATGTGCACCTACAAGTGCAGTATGCAGTCCTGGCCCACCATCCCTGTGTAGCACTTCCCTGTTTTAGAGTCTATCTTCTGTTGGGCACCGAATAGGTCTAAGTTTACAAGTTGCCTGGGTACAACATACATTTGTTAGCAACATTTTGTTTTTTTTTTTGCTCATGATCAAGATTCCAAATTTCAGAAGCTAAGACATTATAAGCTTAAATGAGGAAAGCTTTGAAACAATCTGAAAAATACAAAGGCTTTCTGTAAATCTCTTAAAATCTCTTGTGCTGCCTCATTCCCTACCAGTTCCTTCTGGTAAGGCTTTGGCAACTCTTATCACAGTCAGTGAGGACTACTGAGTGCAAATCTAGGATGACAGAGAGAAGACTCAGGAATTCAGGTGATCCGTCAAGGACAAGCAGTGGCTTCCTTGACCATTGAGCCAGTGACAATCCAGTTGCAAAGGAAAAAAAATTTCTAAATTCAATGTAAACATGCAGAGACACTTTTGTCTAGTATATGAAGAGTTTAACCAACAAGGAACATAAAAGTTAAACTTCACAAACTGTATTTGCTTAATTGAAGTTCAGGTTGAGAGTTTCAAGGTCTTGTGGCCAGGACAGGACTTACGTCAGTTATTAGTTACAGTCCCATCCTATACTTACTAATTTTTAAAGAGGAGTTAATTTAGAAAGTTCAGACAGTTAAGAATTCCCATTACTGCCCCAGTATGAATTATAAATTTCAAAATAAGTCCTACTGAAAAAATACCAGTCATTGAGAAGAACAACTAAATACTGACATGACATGTAGGGAGCGGGCATCTTGATATGTTTAATTTGTCACATAATCACTTCATTGGCAGACAAGTGATAGTCCTAAAGAGCCTGATTAAATAAAAACAACACTCCTTGATAGGACTACCTTTTGACATATTTTAAAAATTATGCTTAAAATAATCATGAACATTAATTCCCCACTGTTGTACTGATAAGTAAATAAAGATAAATATATTGAAAATCTCTATACCCAGTTTAGAAAAGGAAGTACTATACAGATGAACCAAAGCTGCCTGCAACAATGTCAAAGTTTCTAAAATATTCCTCTAAAGGTTCTTTTTGCATGTGTTTAAGCAGTCTATTTATACTTCTGTAGAGCATTAGACTAAGCAAAGCATACTGTACTATGAAGGAATGGTTAACAGAATGGGATAAAACTGTGGATCCTAAAAGTTATAAAACCATCAAGCACCCACTCTGCCCAAAGTTCTCTAGAAACTGAAGTCTTCCAAAAGAATACTAAATGTGATAGACCAATGAAAAGAAATAGAACCTGTCACAAATATTATATACTAATTCACATCGCTTTAGGATGCCATGCTATATCTACAGCAAAATGTAAACCTTTCCTAATTTAACTTAGTAGAGTAGGGATGATTCACATGAACTTTTACGTTTACAGTGGAGATAATCTTTTTGTATTTTTAGCAAGTACCAAAACCCAACTTATTCTAAACTTAGAAATTAGTACATTTCTTCGTTATGAGGAAATCATCAGATTAAGAAGCATGTTTTGTGCCTAACGCTATTTACACATACACCTTCTGTGAAGTACATATGTCACCAATGAAGCAGAACTAGTTTCACTTTTCTCCTCATAGGTGAACTTGTGTAGCCAATGGACTATATAAGATGTAATGCCAAAACAAGCACCCTTGGCTTTCTTCTTGGTAAGACCCCAGCCACTGACCTCCATTCCCAGCACCAAACAAGCAATGCCTTACCCTCACCAAGTCAATTTTTGCTGTGATTAGCAGCAAGCTGCAAAACAACTGACAAAAACTTTCCTCTGAAGTCTAAGGACAGCATTCTTTTCTACTGTCACTGAATGCCAGCCCGAACAATATTGTCCCTTCTTCAAGGCTGCATTTAACTCAAAAGCCAAATATGTGATTAGAGTTTTCTAAGGTTTCTATGGAATTAAGGGCCACAGGCCATTAATACATACATGATAAGCATAATATCAACAGTGTCTTAGAACTGTGTGACATTTCACAATTACTACAAGTTATCTTTCATAAATAACTCGTGAATTATTTTTTTAAACCTGTCTATGACCAAGTGAGCTACAGTGTCTAGAAAATGTCATGATAGCTGTGACTCTTTAAAAGCAACCTGTCTTCAATTCTAGAAGATGCATAAGAAATTAGTGTCTCACCTTCTGGTATTTCTGCCACCATTTACATGAATATTGGTCTTCCCAAGAGACAGGTTTTGAAGGAAATATCTGGCACTTATTGAGTGATTCTAACTGAACTGCAGACATGGTTGATGGCAACACACACTCTGGCAAAATTTGCACTTTGGCTTGCTGGATTCTAAAACAAAGAGAAGCATGTTGTTCATTTTTAAGATTAGTTTCTTGATATAAGATAATTTTAAAAAAGATTTTTTCCAAGTCCCCCACTTTAAACAAATGGAACAAATACTGTATTTGTAATGTGTGTGTATAAGAAATTCTCAAAACAATTGTTTAATAAATCTTAATGTAAAATATAAGAGATAATTTGATTTCATTCTCACTTGCAGAATCAAAAGAAATTATACATTTTAGATAAATATGTAGGCACAAATGAAGCAAAATCTATTTTAAAAATTCAGCATACAGCCTACAGATTATCCTAACACATCTAATTTCATAGATATTCTTAGGTAACTCTCCATCCCCAAATCTCTAGGCTCACATACTCTTTGTCATTAATATCCAGGCAGCAAAAACAGGTAGAGAAAGGAAAAGACATAAACATACACACACACACACTTTGGATTGCATACATACATACATACATACATACATACATACATACATACATATTCTCCCTTTCTGTTTCTAGACAAAATTTTATTGCACCAAAGGCAATGTGGAACCAGTGTCCTCTAGATCATGCCAGGTCTTTGTTTGCAGAACTTTGTCTTTCAGAACTAGGGATGAAGTAAGCCCTCGTGGTCCTGTTCAATATGCCTGGGGTGGGTGTGTATGTGTGTGTTGGTTCTTCCTTAGGTGTTTATGACAGTTACTTTATGATTATAACAACATGTTTTATAACAGACTACAAAAGCATGTGAAATTGGGGGAAAACTGCAAATTTTAAGATTTTGCATTTATTGTAATGCCTGTTGAAATGACTTACAAGTATAGATGGGTAATGTGTAAAGAAAATCTAGAAGCATCTACATCCAAATGAATCTGCAAACCCAAAGAAAACAACCTTGTCTCCCAAAAAATCAAAATGTTACTCTAATTTTCAGCTAAAATGTTTGTAATATATATTTCAAACTTTATGACTAAAAATTACTTATTCCAAATATGACAGATAAAAACTCAGAATTTCAACAGGATATTAATCTTTTTCTGTACACTTATAAGAAAGATTTCTGAAGAGTCCTACACCAAGTCAAATACACCCTTCTATGTGTTATTTTCTAAAAAGTCTATGTATTTGAAAAACAGACTTTTAATAGGAAAGGTTAGAAGCAAACACTGTACTTCATTTATGCAGTGTCATTTAGGTCAAAAACAAAAATAAAATGAATCTTAAATTACAGATTATTTCATAGAGTTAAGTTCCCAATGTGCTAAGGAGAATCTTTGGTATAATGCTCGACAGCTAGTTTGGGAGGCAGAATGTGGATGAAACCAGCTGTTTCTCATTTACTTGCATAATGTTTTGTCAAGTAAAGTCTGTGGGACTTAGTTTATTTTCATTTGCAAAAAGAAGAGACTGACCTGGACCACCTTCATGGTTTCTTAAATTCGTCATTTAAGTGATGGTGGTCTCAGGACCAGGGTGGGAGTGGAGGCAAAGAAATCTTAGTCCACAGAGGGTTTTCAAATTGAGACATCTTTTTTTGAGAGGCTTTAATATATACTAGGTCTATAGAATAATAGAAAGAATTAATATGTAGTAGGTCTACAGAATACTAAAAAGGATTAATATATACTAGGTGTATAGAATACTAGAAAGAAGACATATATATGTATATATGGTCTAAGGAATACTAGAGAATTAATATATACTAGGTCTATAGAATACTAGAAAGAACTCTCCTTTTTAGGACTAGTCCACCTTTGCCAGTGTGATGTTGGTCTTTACTAGGTTTTAACTGTGTCTCTTCAACTACTTTCTCACAGTGACTTCTTCCAGCTTGTGTTTTAGAGTTTTGCACAACTAATTATTAAAGTCACATACAGAAATATACTTTCTCCCAACTCAATTTCTTTTATCTAGAAAGTAATAGTCAAAGAAAATCAAATTGTATGAACTTCAATGTATATAGGAAGTAAATTAAAAGCTGTTGTTGTCAGCTAGGTCCACTGTAACAAAATACTACAATACCCAGATCACTTTATACTCATTCACCTAACACTGTCCTAAATGTAGACCATAAAAGTTTCAGTCACTTCTCCGGCAGCTTGCCTATTGAGGGACTCAGTCATACAACCTTATAAGACTTTGAGTCTATACAATGAAATGTTCTAGGCAACGACCAGGAGAAAAGCCCCTCAAGTTGGGACACCCCACCCAATATCCTTGTTTTCTTGTCCTGATATGCTGCCTGACTCACATGTACTTCTGCATATGACTATTTACAGCTGCTTACAATATGAACATAACAGACAACAAATCTTGCTCTCATGCAGCTCACATTCTTGTTGATGCCTAAAACTTTCAAACCTTCCTGTGCTCAGATGCCATATGAAATAAAAAGGTATGACAGAATTCAATTCTGACCACAGGCTAGATTCTCTACAATAGGTAGAACCCAGAGGCTATCCCCTACGACATGACAGTTGTTCCTATGTGTGCCTAAGACATGACAGCAGTAAAGAGAAATGCTTACTTCAAATTCATTTCCTTTTTAGGAAGAGGGGTAAATTAGCAGAATTTAATGGGAAAAGAAAATAGCTGATCATATGAAAAGCTAACCATGTGACTGCACTAGGATTCCCAGGAATCTTGTAAATGTCACACAGGGCAGCGACAATGGCATTTCTTCATTCTTCATATAAAGACATCTTGGGATGATATAGAACTCCCACTGCAAACAGCCACAAACCTCGGTGGCTGGTACAGCTCAGGGTAGCAGTTGGCAGATGTACTCAGTGCAGCTTTCAAATAGCCCAGGAATGCTGCCACTGCCACCCCTGTCCTAGTGAACACACCGAGCACAGCTTTTGCCTTCTATTCTCCTATGCTGCAGAGAGCTCTTCAGTCCCCAAAAAGCCGTGCCTCAAGCGGTACTTCCTTTGAGGCTTATATTACTGCTTTCAAACCTGGAGGGATATTGCAGTCACCTAGAAATAATTTTTAAACGATGCCACAGTCGCACTCCATATTAAGTCACATGCTGGGAGAGGAGATGAGGCCGACACTGCAGCCTGAGCAGTTTACACTGGACAAGGAAGTTCGCTAAACATCAGGGTTGGAAACTATGGCCATCACCATAGAAGGCAAAGAGAACAACTAGTGAAGCTATAAAACATTATGGGTCAGCAAACAGCAAATGATCACAAAACCACCCCCCTCTACGATGTTGAAGTGTCTTACCCATCTGACTGTGTTCTAAGTTCAAGGACCTTGAACCTCTGCCGTCCAATTGCTTTCACTTTCACTACTTCAATTCCAAACTCCTGCTCTTCTCGATAAGCATAAATCTCTGCTGTGGTTCCGAACTGTGCTTCCCTTTCTTGCGCATTACTACCAAGATAAAAATGTACAGGAAGAGTTTTCAGCTTTAGCTTTTAAATACACAAAACCGGCAAAAGCAATATAGACAGGAAAGCAGTTTATAGCAGTCAACCTTCACTGTAAAGCTAACAGTGCTCCAGAGAACACTTTAGGATAAGGGTAGATTTTTAGAGTCACTGAAATAACCTAGGGCTAAAGAGTTTTAAACTCATTTCACAACATAAACATTCTTTCACGTTGTTAGACACTGATGGTTGCTGCTAATTAGCAGCGCTATGCATATCTATGTGTGTGGTGGGGGTGTTGGGGGGTGATGGGAGGCTTCCTGTTTCCATTTCCTGTCTCCACTACATTTCCTTCATTTGCCAAAGGCTACTTGAAGTACGGCTTCAGTTTACCACTGTTTTGTATTGGTACAACTACGTGAGTTTTAAAAGGGAAAAGTAACCTTGGTATGAAATATAAAATCCTAGCTGTCCGAATAAAAACAGTTCTGAACTCGCATTCCAGGCAGGTTTCCCATGAAACGCATGCAAGTTTTTAAACAGCTAGACACAGCTAAATTGTAAAAGTAAATGTCTGATTTACAAAGTAATGAAAATAATATTCCGAATTTATGCTTTGACAAATTGCTTGCTTCACACTCTAATCCAACATCTTCTGAAAAATTCCAATTGGCTTTGGTTACCACCCTGACCTTGGCTGTGACAACACAGAGGGCAGCGCAGTAAACAGGTCACCTAACCTCTCACCTGTATGCAAGAACTGCAAAGGTTCTGTCTTTCTGAATTAAATTCCGCACCATGCTGACTTCTTGCGGGTGGGAAAGCTGCAGTGGTAATGTCTGCCCAGGAATCAGGATCATCATCACTTGAGGAAGGACTGGAATTACCTGACAGCTGTCATCATCATGCAGAGTCCTCCCATGAAACTCTTCCATATCAGCGCCCAGATACTACTCAAGAACACACAGAGTCAGGACACTTAATACACGGTAGTGGATTAAAGGGTAAAGCAGAGCCAAAGAACTGCATAGACAGAGCACACACATTTATTTATGTAAGCTTGGTTATATAAGGACACCTCTATTAGACTCTAATTTTTGATCTAATATTTTCTATTAGCATAACTCCCAATTTTTATGAAGAATCTCTCATTAGTATTTTGTAGCTTAAAATATCTTATTTTAACCAACAACCTCTGTATCTAAATATGACAACTCATATGACAGAATGCTAGTACGCAGAATTCCACCCCACATCCCAGCAGTACGGACAATATACTCTTGGTGGCTCAGTTACTAGTAGAATTGTCCAGAGGAAGACAATTCCTCAAAGAGGCACACCCAGGATAAGTTTAAAAGTTAAGATTGTATGTTTGCATATTACAAAATAGTCAAGAATCACAGGAAAATATAGTATTGCATTGCTTCAGTTTGTAAAATTACATTCTTATGCACTGGGAGATAAGAGCCCGTCCTCATGCACAAGTTCTAGGGTCAGCTAATATGCAGGGATCCTTCAGTCAGTCACTGCCATTTAGGAAACTCCAAGCACATTAAAGGTCCATCTACTGTATTAGCTTAACTGCAAAATTACATACTGTATGCGATGTTGGCAGGCTGGTGTCAAAGTTTATGATGTTCGGTTTCCTAGCGTCTCTACTATCCTGGTCTTCAACTTCCATTTCAATTTCATCTTCCTCATCATCACTCTCTGCTGAAGAAGAAAAATAGAAGAAAAAAATGAGATTTAAAAAAAAAATAGGCAGCTCCGTGGCTTTCACGTGCCCTGCCCTGAGAGGCAAGACACTGACACAAAGACAGCCGTGCAGGGGCAGCAGAAAGCGGCCTTATGCTTTTTCTGCCACCATAGTGCCTTCCTCCTTTCCCCATTTTAAGAAACCAACTGTTTTAGAACACGTTAAGATTTACAGGAATGTTGAAAAAAAAATAGAACTCTAGTATGCCAAGACTTTATGTTCCTCCACAGTTAGCACTGGACATCCATTTGGGATTCTTGTCACAACTAATACTGTCACATTACTATTAACTAAATTCCTTATTTTATTTGGATTGCCTTAGATTTTTAGCTAATTTATATATCCTGTTATAGACTCCCCTCCAGGATATCACATTCTATTTAGGTGTCATGGCTCTTTTGCTGCCTCTGGCCGGTCAACTGTTCTGCCCTCCTGTCTAGGGAGAGCCTGATTATTCATAGTACTTTACACAGCATCCCTCAGTAAGGATCAGCTTGATGGAACTCTCAGGATTCAGCTGAGGCCTGTGGTGTTTCTGCACCTCATCTCAAGGGTACATACAGTCAAGCTGACCTAGGTGCTGATGTTCCCCCCCCCCCCGATCACCTGCTGGGGACCCAGCCCCCAGATCCTTCACAGCAGAATTCCCTTTCCCTTCTTTCACACTGTACTTTTAGACAGTAGGTCACTGGGCACAGCTGTCTAAGGGAAACAGCTAGATTCTCCTATATTTTTCTCTTCTCCATCAAAATAACTCCGACCCTTTATGTAATAAATTCCAACTGATTAAAGCTGAGCTGCTTTATCTGAAGAAAAAAAATGAAGGCTTGGACACACTCATCTCTGAGGATCTTTCAAACTCTAGCTGTAAAGAGTTCCTCTGTGAAAAAAAAAAGCAAGAAATAAGCAGATCTGCTGGTTACACTGGAAAACCGATTCCATTAAAACCGGGCAGAGGGCACTGCTGTTCCAGTGATGACTCTCCTGGTGTCCACCATCATATTTAAAAATGAAATGTTTGCCACTCTTCTCATTCAAACATTGCTTTGTCATTTTAAATTTGAAAATGTTGGCAGAAAGAAAAAAAACATTTTAAAGAAGATTTAAGAACTCTATCTGCACATATTTTTCTAAATTTAAAAGGTAAGCTGATCTACTATAAAACCTGATGCTACCAAGGGCAGAGATAAAAGCCCCCCCCCAAAAAAAATCAAAACAAACCGCTACTTTATAGAGGTGTTACTCTATCTTGTAGGAACTGTTCTTCTCCTGCCAACTGTGGCTTCATTTTCCACCCCAAGGATAATTTTGTCCCTTTATGATATTTGGAATTGCCTTAAGATATCTTTGACAGTCACAACTAGAAAAATCCTGGAAATCCAGACTAGATGTTGGTTGGGCATGCTGCTAAATACCCTGTACTGCTTAAGGTACATCTTACAAGGGGTTCTCCAGCTTGAAGCACTGGCCTAAACGGGTTCCTAAACCCACTAAAGATATATATATATATATATATATACACACACACACATCCTCCCTCAAAACTTTTAAATGCGTAAGATTTGATTATAAATTGGTCAGCTTTTTCATTGTGAAATTATTTTTCTATCAAACCATCTGTAAGTAGGTTCCTAACAGCACAAAGATTTTACAATAAAGAAAATGCCTAGACCTTCATATTTATTATGAATTCCTAGATATAATGTTCTGCCAAAGACAAGAACATAATTATTCCAGGTTGTATGCAGACAGTTGATGTTTAACATTTCTGAATATGTTTTTCTCGACAATAGGGAAGTTTCATCAACAGATAAGATGAAGCTAAAATGATGAGAGAAACATTCTGGATGCAATTATTTCATCTGCAACCCTAAAAGCACAGATTTTACTCGACGTTTAGAGAGACCTATTCTCTTCTCTACTGCAGCAAGCTTGAAAGATCTGCTATGAGTTCAAGGGCGACAGTTTATACAAAATTTACACTTGACATTTTCTACTTTTATTCTTTAAAGGGATTTGTTATGTATGGTGTCCAGTCTCATAAACAAAGCTAAAAGCCACTTCTCCCACTTGGAAATGTTTATCTTTGAGTATTTAATTCTTCCAGGGTAGATTCGTCACACCTAAAATGTTAGACAATTTCTTTAGCACCTAAATAAAGATGATCACTTTTCCAAAGCAACTTACACTACATGGATTCGGGGGCAAACCAAAGTTTTTCCAGAAATTCAACTCTTATAATTTGGAAAAACATTATTCTACATCTACATCTGTGAGTCTCTTACTTTCAACATCTTAAATTGAGAAAACACACAGGGACTTTTCAGAGCTACTGCTACGCTCGCAGCAGCCCCTGGAGAACGCCAACACAACATGAGCATCCTCCTTGGACTCTGCCACTCTCCCTAAATCTTCAGCACATCCACAGTGGAGCTGATGTCGCTGGCATCTCTTCTGCTGAAAGATGACTTACCTACCTTTTCTAACTTCAGCGAGTACAGCTTCACAAACAACCAGTGACTTAGACAAAAGTGCCTTCTATGTCCTGGCATGGCACGCAGCATTTTCCTCCTTCAGGCTGAACCATTACCTAGTAACAGATTCATACCCAAAGTACACCTTTCCCGAGGTGACTAACTGAAACCTGAAATTATTTCTTCACAACCCACAAAATGTCCCTAACTCAAATGACTAAAGATGCAAGTTTTCAACAACTTACAGCTAACCTAGTTCACAACTGTATTCTAAGTATCTACATCATAAGATTGTTCAATTCCTCTAACCCCAGCATAGTCCCTATCTCTGACGAATCACAGGAGGAGTTGGAGACACAGCTCAAGAGTATTTGGGAGACCCTAGTATTCAATCCAGCATAGCAATGAATGAAACACAACCCCCTAAACCCTAACAGCACTTGCCTGTCTGGCCCTAGATGAACTGCACCCGAGATTATGATTATTCTCATTAGCCTCACCACAACTGTGAACCCTAAAATAGAATGGTGTGTGTGGTGGCGGCTCTCATACTAACACACTGCCAGGCTTATAACCTAAAGCCTCAGGTAACAGTCTGTGTTGTCTACAGCATTCTAGGAATAGTATGGACCACTACTTCATGCCCTTTTAATATTCAGTACTATAACGTATATATGGACATATATACGTTTTATATATATATATATATATATATGCCCATAATGAAAGGAAAAGAAAGTGAAAGGAAAGAGAAACTCCACTTCCTTGAGGGGTAATACCATTCCCTTGAGTGATAATATGCAAGAATGCTATTTTCATACCTGAGAAAAATCACCAAATATGGCCTCGACAGATAGTCATATATAAAACGATACCTGAGGTGCTGACAAGCACCCCGCAGAGCTCTGTCTCTACAACTGTGTGACCTTCCATATCACTAAATTGTACAGACATTTAACAACTCGTCGATACATCTCTCCTTTACAAGAAAGGCTCTGAACAGGTGACAAGGGTTGCAGCAAAAGCAGAAACATATGCAAACCGTTCACTTCGTGGCGCGTGACGTTTGAGTGCTTAGTACATATTAGCTGTCGGTCTTATTAAAAGACAGACGTGCAGGAAATGCAACAGCTAATGTAACCCGGTTTCGGACGTCGCCGGGTTCCAGAGCATTTCCGTGGAGGCTTGCTAAGAAAAAAGATTCAAAGGATTGGGTCCCTGCTCTAGGAGACGAAAGTCCCTCGCCCAAACATCCCCCACAGTGCAGGACACAGAGGCCGGGAGGAAAACGCAGAGCTGCAGCGGTCGAGGTTCATGAGAAGCTCCCCCACTCGCCGCTGCACCCGGGTTGCTGTCCTCGTACTGCCTGAGGGGTCGGCCCCGGACCTCGCTCTCCACCCATGGCCTGGCGCCCGTCCCGGAGGTTACCAGGCAGCAGCGGCAGGTGGTTGCCCATGTTGTGCGCAGCGTCCGGCTGATCTTCCTCGTCGGCCATGTCTGTTTACCCGCAAAGGAGCCTGGGACAAGGCGGTGCCGGGACGCAGTGGGAGGATCCGCTTCGAGCTGCCGCCTCGCGTCCGGGCCACAGCGCCCCCTGGCGGCTCCAACAGGCCGTCAGCGACACAGCGGAGAGCTCTGGAAATGATCACGTGAACAGCAAGAGCCCTAATGCTAGCCACACCCAACCAAGAATTCGAGGCTGAGTTTTTAGTGTCCACCTTAACTAAACAAACTTCCTTATACAGCATTAACTTCTGTTCGGAAGTATGGAAAGAATATTCGGAAAACACATCGACTGTTCCACTAACTTAAAACAATTTTCATAAATAGCTCCAAATTAACATGTATCAGTATGAGGCAAAGGCTTGCAGGAACAGCAAAAGTCAGATAGTCACCTGCAAAGTAAAACTGTCAGGATATCATCATGCACAGTCATAATGGCTTCACTAAGAGAAAATGGTTCAATGCGTGGTAAAACAATTAAAATATGCCAGAAGAGAATTGTTTTAGCACTGACAGTTAACATCTTTCCAATAAGTTTTCAATGAAGAAAAAAACTGGAAAAAGAACGACGTAGTATCTGTAAGGAAGGAAGTGGTGGTGGTGGAGAATGAGAGGAAGGGGAAAAGAAGCACAGAAAACTAATGAGTCTGAGGTTGTCAGACTTTTGACTCACAGAAAACTTGCCGCATTGAAAAGTCGCAAGCTGCAAACCTTTTTTGCAAGAGTGCCCCCAGTCAATCCCACATCACTCTGCTGCCTGACCCTGAATCACTCTGTGGCCTTGGCCAAGCCACTTTTATATCCTCAGGACTCAGCTTACCCAATGTCAAAACCAGAAAAAATCGTGTCCAAGCTGTGTCCTCTTTAATAATGCATACAATACTGGTGCCTTTTATGATCAAGTTAAGAAGCAGCTGCATGAGGCATTGTGATGAGCTGGTGGTGTTAAGGTATTGCTTGAGCTAGAGAAAGGGTCTTTCCGGTCTAAACTGTCTGAGAGCATGTGCAGCAGAAAGCAAGGGGGAGAGATGGTGAGTGTGAAAGAAGGGAGTAAGAGTCAACCAAGTGACCCATAAATGGGCATCTATGCCACACACTTCTATGCCAAGGGTCAAATTAGATAGAGTTTGCTGAATTTCAACAAACTCTCTGTAGAATCTTCTATGTATAGCAAGCATCTGGTTTCTATTTGATGTCTGTTTGTACATGTGTGAATTCACACTTTTCGGTGCATGGGGGAGCATGTATGCCAGTGGGCATGGAAGCCAAAAATCAACCTTGAGTTTTATTACTTAGGAGCCACCCACATTGTTTATTGAGGCAATGTCTTCCACTGACTGGGGAATAAACTCTTAGGTGGGGCTGACTGCCCAGTGAGTCCCAGTGTTGGATGGTGTTACAAGTGAAGCTTACCACCACGCCCGGATTAAAAATATTTATACAGAGATTCTTGAGGCTAAGTTCAGGTCCTTGCACAACAAGAACTTTACCAACTGAGCAGCTCCCTAACTCTGAGTGATTAGATTCTAAGTAAGAAAGCTCTTAGTTTCTGTGCTTCTCTCAAAGTGCCCTTAAAATTGTCTGAACCGAGTCAATCAAGAACTGTCTGGGCAAGAAAGGACTACTGTAATCCTAGAAAAGCACCGGCCTGGTCTCTCTCTCTCTCTCTCTCTCTCTCTCTCTCTCTCTCTCTCTCTCTCAACAATGCTCTAGCATCAGAACCCTCAATTTGTATGTCTTTTGCTGTTCTCTCTTCTTCAATCTCTCCTCCATTCAAATTCATCATCTTGATTTTTTTCTCCGTTTCATCCCATTAGGATGGACTCATTTATGTGTACCTTCATCTTTCAATATCACAGGATAAAAGGACCTAAGCAACCATACTTCTTGGATCAAAGCCCCAAGTATTAAGAAACCATGATCATATACTGGTGTGTGTACTTCTGTCAAGGGCTGCATCTGTGCAGCTATTGCTGTGAGTTGTGTACTTCAGCATCCCAGACTGTAAATCCAAGTTACAGGTGGATTAAAATATCTGTCTGCTCTACACAGGTCTAGAGGGGAGGAAGAGAGGGTAAGCCTGCTCTGTAAGCAGGACTATAATCAGAGACAGTGCATCTTTCAAAGCCTCTTCAGTGTCAACAATTTTATTAATGACTCTCATATATCAGCCATATGTAGAATAATGCAGGGTTTGAAGAAATTGTTATATGCAGCTTTCACAGCTGCTGTAATATTTTCTGGTCCTCCAGAGCCTACGCAGGTTCCACAGAGGTTGGGCTATTTGTGAAAAATGATTGTTTGGGACAATACTTAAGGTGACAATTTAGTGAGACCCCCTACCACCGCATCCACCTCCGACTTGACAGCTAAAAAAGTAGTGAGGATTTTGCAAGATGGTAAGATGCTGGGCAATTGATGGTTTCTAAACTTTTCTACAAAATTATTGTCATGACTCACCTGGAGATTCCCAATGGCCCATGACACTCCCACCAGAGCTGAGGGTCATTGAAGAGAGGGGAGCATGGAACAGAAAGGGACCTCAGGATTCACTTACTCTCTCACGTTTTAGCTCATAATGACATCCTTCTCTGTGACTGTTTTCATGACGTTATGTGTAACAGTTGACTGTATTCAAGCCGTCTGATAATTTGCTGTGATAACAAAGCACCAGCTGTTGATTGCAGTGGAGGTTCACGTTTTGCTCAAATCACATCCATGTGGTTACTCTCCATCATTAGGTTACTTTCCTATTGCAGCACCTACCCGCTGAAATTTTCTTCTACAGTCACTAGCTGCCACAGCAGAAGGAAAAGGCTTGGAATGAATCACTGTCATCTAAATGCCTGCACTTCAGAGTGAAGCATAACAATGCCTACTCATATTCAATTGACCAAAGCAAATCCTAGGGCTCTGTCTAAGCTGTAGTGAAAGAATAAGATTCATCATAGAAGTGGAATCAGTTCATATCAGTAACATTTGCCACAGGATAGGGTTAAATTCAGATTTTTTCATGTATGTGTGTGATGTGGGATACCTCTCTGTATGCTGTGAATATGTTTTATTTTCATTGTATAATAAAGAATCTGCTTTGGCCTGTGACAGGGCAGAATATAGATAGGTGGGAAACTCAAGCAGAAAGATAGAAAGAAAAGAAGGTAAACACGGGGAGACACCACCAGCCACCAAAGGAATAAGATGCCAGAGTATTACCAGTAAGCCATGGGGCACATGGTGATACACAGATTATTAGAAATGGTTTAATTTTTATGTGGAGCTAGCCAGTAAGAAGCCCAAGGCATTGGGCAAGAAATTATAATTAATATAAAGCCCCAAAATGATTATTTTATAAATGGTTGTGGGGACTGGCAGACAGGAGATCAACCAATCCAGTGGGACTGTTTGAGACAGAGAAAAGTTTCCAGTTACATGCGTGGTTGATTATGTTTCACTTAATCATAGGAATAAATTCAAAGAATACATCTTTAAGTGATTTTGATTTTATATAAACCTGAGTATATAGTTTGCTGAACTTCTAGGCTACATGGTCTAGTCCATCACTCCTAAGCAAAAGCTTGCATACAGTATTGCTGTCCTGAATATGACAGGCAGTTATATTATAATGGTAAGTACTGTGGAACTAATCAGAGTGAGGATATGGTACCAAGTCCGACAACTGGCACACAGCGAAAGGCTGATGCTCTGCTGAAGCTTCCAGCACATGGAAGTTATTCTGGGTGAGTTGGTGAGTGAGTGATGAATGTATATAAAGATAGGAGACCTTGTGTGCACTCCTGTAAACTTTGTAAACATGATACATACAGACTATTGTAAATCTGTAAAAACATTTTCTTCAGGAATTAAAGTTTAGCATACTGACATCTTTTAACCTTTTAAGCCATTAAAAATAATTTTGACTCTATTTAGAAGCATAAATACATTGTATTACCATGCACTTTTTAAATTTGAATTTTATCATTTAGTTTTATATTTTAAATTACATATTTAACATTTCTAAGCTGATCTCCTTTTGGATAAGATTAAGTTACAAACACACACACACATTATCCGATGCCTATGCAGGTCAAGCTTACCACCACTCTGTTCCACTTCTGTATCCGGTCCCTTCGGAGAGTCTTCAGGACAGAAACATTTGGACTGTGCGCTCCTACGATCACAGAGCCTCTGCTGTAATACTTTGAGAAGGATCTGCCTGAAGCGATTTGAATTTAACTTAAAAGAAAAAGAAAGCAAGCAGAAGGAATATTCTCTAGCATATCCATTAAAGTATATTACAGTCCATATATAAACTAGCAATGCGCAATACAATAGTTGTCTATTATTAGTGATGTGACTGACAGTGCCCTAGTTTGTTTATACAGGTGACTTGTCAAACTGAGCAAGATATTGTGCTATGACACGGTACCATCACTAGGTGGCAGTAGTTCTTCAGCTGCTTTATGCCTTCACCAGCCACCACCACAGAACGGAACCAGCATGACCGTATTAGGCATTTCCCGGCAGCCTGGCAGGCTGTTGAGTCTAATTCAGAAGTTACTTCTGCTCTGTCACTCATGGGTGAGCAGGTGTTTGTTAAACACTTAAATCTGATTCAAAATTGACGTGTGTGCTTTGCATGTTGGTTTCTTTGAATTTTATGCCATTCTCGAGAAGTCTGTTCCCAACCTATCCCAATATGTTATGATCACAAGTCAGTTTCCATGTATGGCAGAAGCGTAGCCTGAAGGATTTTCAGCAGCACCTCAGTTTCCACGTCTCTGCAGCGTTGTCTCTTTAATCCTCCTTATGTCTGTGTTCGCTCTGCCGTTCTGAGTTTTGTCCTCTCCTTCTGAAACTTGCTCAACTACTGCCTAGATCAACTTCAGACTCCTCCTCTTCCTATGAATCTGTGATCATCTTCTTGCTTCTTATTGCCCCATGTGCCTTTGCTTTGTTTAGGATACCACGTGAATGTTGTTTTCATTTAAATCACTTTTTTTTTTTTTGCAAAAACTATTAGTCATGTTTCTTGTCGCTGTGACCCAGC